TGAGTTTATAGCAAATTTTCCTTGATTTCCTTTGTGGTTTGCAGTGAATAGTTAAAAATTGTTGATATTTTGATTGATTGATTGATTCATTCATTCATTCATTGAGATGGAGTTTTGTTCTTGTTGCACAGGCTGGAGTGCAGTGGTGTGATTTTGGCTCACTGCAACCTCTGCCTCCCAGGTTCAAGCGATTCTCCTGCCTCAGCCTCCCGAGTAGCTGGGATTACAGGCATGCACTACTGCGCCCGGCTAATTTTGTATTTTTAATAGAGACAGGTTTCTCCATGTTGGTCAGACTGGTCTTGAACTCCAGAATTCAGGTGATCCATCCACCTTGCCCTCCCAAAGTGCTGGGATTACAGGCATAAGCCACCGTGTCCGGCCAGTTGTTGATGTTTTAACTGAGATTCTTGCTTTCTTTGTTGTAAGATTTTGTTTCCGACTTTCTGAGTCTTAACGACCACGGAGTCCAGTGTGCTGTCATCTTGAGTTCATGCATTTTTGGTCTGTTTTTCCCCTAGAGCTTTAGGAGACGATTGGGAGATATCCTTGTGTTTCCTGGATCTGCCTAATGTCACTGGCACGATGCAAATCAATAAGCCCTGTATGGTTTAGAAAGTCTAAAAGACTTTGTCGCTTAATTTTTGGAGCAAATTTGAACAGAAAGTTAACATATATGTTGGATATTAAGTATAGAAAGAGAAACTATGTTTATTGTCTTTCCTACTCCTATAATTCTAACATGGTGTACTCCAATTCCAGGTTGTTTTTCTTTCTTTTTTTAATTTTTTTATAAAAATAGAGACAGAGTCTTGCTGTGGTGTCCAGGCTGGTCTTGGGCTTGAGTGATCCTTCTGCCTTGGCCTCCCAAAGTGCTGGGATTATACAAGCGTGAGCCACTATGCCCAGCCTGCTTTTCTTTTTAAAAAATCAGGCCGGTGTGGTGGCTCACACCTGTAATCCCAGCACTTGGGGAGGCCGAGGTGGGTGGATCATGAGGTCCAGAGATTGAGACCATCCTGGCCAACATGGTGAAACCCCGTCTCTACTAAAAATACAAAAATTAGCCGGGTGTTTGGCATGCACCTGTAGTCCCAGCTACTCGGGAGGCTGAGGCGGAAGAATCGCTTGAACCCGGGAGGTGGAGGTTGCAGTGAGTCGAGATTGCGCCACTGCGCTCCAGCCTGGTGACAGAGCAAGACTCCATATCAAAAAAAAAAAAAAAAAAATTAATGATACTTAATAATGCCCTATTACTGTTTTGTGAGCAACAGTTTATAATTGCTGAATGCTTAGTTTTAATTGAATAGCAAATAATTTCAGTAGAAGGTAAATTTTATTTAAATGGCAAGTTGACAGTGCTAAATTCTTTTTCATCATTTTTTCTTCCAGAAATGCCTTTTTTTGGGGTATATGTATATAATTCCTCGGGCGTGGATATAGGCATATGTTAATAACAAAACAGCATATTCTAGTAGCAATGCTGTGTCATTCTTCCTTTCTCCACTATTCACAAGTAACAGTAATAACTACCATTTATCAGCCGTAGGTAGATGCTAAGGGGTTTTTATGCATTATCGCGTTAATAAATCTATGAGGACAGTTCTATTATCCAGATAAGGAAAAAGGCCAAGAGAGACAAAATAATTTGCCCAGGGTAACACATCTATTAAGTGATAGAATTCTTAGCTGGCTTCTGTTCACTGCAAAGCAGCAAAGCATGTGCTGTTAATTAGAGTAAATGAAGCCAATATTTGTAAATTAATTGAGAGGTGAAACATTTACTAAGTGTGGAGTGAGGTTTCTGTATGCAAGTTCTTTCTTTCTTTAGCTGAGCAAACAATGAATATACATGTAAACAGAAAGTAAATTTTTTTCTATGTCTGGTTGGAGTTCAGAGAAGGAAGGATCATTATCTATAGGACAAGTTAGACTTTAATGGAGGAGGAGGTATATTCCTTAGGAATCATCTTCTACATCTTCTAGTTTAGTTAGGCTTTGGATAGGTACAGATTAAGAGGATGATTTTTTGCAGCAATGGGAGAACAGCACAAAAGAAAAAATGAAAAGCCTTTTTTTTTTTTTTTTTTTTTTTTTTTTTTAAAAAAAAACAGACTGAGTCTTGCACTGTCCCCCAGACTGAAGTGCAATGGCGCAATCTTGGCTCACTGCAATCTCTGCCTCCAGGGTTTGAGCAGTTCTTCTGCCTCAGCCTCCTGAGCTGGGACTACAGGTGCAAGCTGCCACACCTGGCTAGTTTTTTTTTTTTTTAAATATTTTAGTAGAGAGGGGTTTCACCCATGTTTCCCAGGCTAGTCTTGAACTCCTGAGCTCAGGCAATCCACCCACCTCAATCTCCTAAAGCACTAGGATTACAGGTGTGCGCCACCATGCCTGACCAAAAATACACTTCTATAATAATAAAGCACAGCTTCTAATTAACTTCATTAAATGTTCTTCCTTTTTAGCAATGAAACATCTGAGAGGCAGTGTGTATAAACACAGTATTTACTGGCCAGGGGCAGTGGCTTATGCCTGTAATCTCAGCATTTTGGGAAGCTGAGGTGGATGGATCACCTGAGGTCAGGAGTTTGAGACCAGCCTGGCCAACTTAATGAAACCCCATCTCTACTAAAAATACAAAATTTAGCCAGGTGTGATAGTGTGTGCCTGTAGTCCCAGCTACTTGGGAGGCTGAGGCAGGAGAATCACTTGAACCCAGGAGGCGGAGGTTGCATTGAGCCGAGATTGTGCCATTGCACTCTGGCCTGGGTAAAAGAGTGAGAGAGACTCTGTCTCCAAAAAAAAAAAAAAAAAAATGGCAAACCAGTATTTACCCATATAAACACTAAAAGTAAATTGCATGACTTAAGCCAGGCATAGTATCTTTTTGTTGCAGTTATTTGTTTTTTTTGTGTATATGGACACCTAGGCACATGTGCATCTGTGTGAGTCATTAGGATAAATACTACTTATGTACAAGAATGTACTCATCTTTATGATTTATATAGAATTGGTTCCATTCAAAGTAATTGATTTCTAGTAGCTAAAGTTAGTGCTGCTTGGCTCTTGTTAAATTTTCTTTAAAGCCACTGTTGGCCTCTTGGTGTCACTTTGAAAGGTTTAGAGTATTTCTTAGAAGAAGTCTTGCTAAGAAGTAACTACTTAAAATATCACTCTTCAAGCTGTTCTTAGCTGAAGGACTCATAGTACAAGTGCTTTATGTGCCTCCTGTTCTACAAAGCTAATATAAAAAGAAGATCAGGGCCACAAATTATTTAAAAATGTTTTGTCTAGTTTCCTTGTTATCCCTTTGCATTTGGCTTAAAGCCCTGAAAAGTTTAAAGGCACATGCTATAGCAGCCTTTATTTACATATTAAGAGATCAGTCTGTTAGTCGAGGATTCTAGAAAAGGATGTTTGTAATACAGAGGAAAGCTCACTGACCTTGGGCTTCTGGGCTCAATTTTTGCATTGGTTTGCTTTATGATCTTGCATGACCTATTTGTTCCACCTGTAGGATGGCAGCATTGTTGCTGTTCATGACCTAGAAAAGGATAGATTTTTCAAAAGGTGAGAAGTTGTAATTGGAAAGTACTTTGAGAGTTTGATAGAAAGGTACTTTGTTCACATGATTGGCTTTTTAACTTGTAAAACTCAGGGACCTTTTTCTTAAGCTTCTTTAATGTTTTATGTGTAGTAAACTTGACAACTTCCAGGGAAGTTAAAATAGTAGTGAATACTAACTTATTTCTGCAATAAATGGAATGTATGTAGATATGTGACTCTTCATCTTTGTCTTAGAAAACTGAAGCATAGAAAAATGTACCCTTGATTATAGACAAGTTTATAAATCTGACAAAGGAAATCTGGGAAGTGCTCCTGAATATAGAGTGATTTTGAATCCTACCTTGTTCACAGGAATTAGGATACCTTGATATATTTAAATTGTAGCTTTACATTCTCATTAGATGTTATATAGTACTTGATCCATAGGTGTGGGATAGCAGAATGGCTTGTAGTGGGAGGAATTTGATAGTGAGCTGTTAATCCAAAGAAAGGCAAAATTTGGTGGGATGGAGGTAGCATTGGGCCAGAACCCTGACATCACAACTTCTTAGAGCCTAGGTTCAAATACTCATCTTCTTTGAACTTACTTTTTTCTACCCATAAGACAAAGATGTTGGACTAGATAGTTTCCCAGGACCTTTTCAGGTCTAAGATTCTGGGAGCTTGTCCTTGTTTCTCTCTTTAAAAAGATAGAAAAGAGGAATTGTTCTGGCTTTTTAAGGATATGCTAGAGAATGTCTAAAAGTTACCCTTTTAGACTGACTTTCCCATTGTGATTTAGAGATTTTGTAACTTTTCATTGAGTTCTTTAAAATGACTTATTCACTGTCTGCAGCTGCCTGAGACATTGAAGTGTCCGTCAGAGTTCGTGGGATGGTAATACTGGAATCAGGACAAGTATTATCCTAATATGGAGACTGAATCTGTTAAATTTTTTTCCTTATCTTTCCATTATGGCAAACAGTGTCTCATAAAATTGGAGGCTTTTAAATAGCTAAAAGTATTTGTAGAATCCACAGCTCTGGGAGGGCTACCTTTACACTGGCAGCTCCTTACAATTACAGTCCCATAAAAACAGCTCAGTTGACTCCAAAATGGATTGAGTTTTGGGAAGATGTCTGCCAGCAAAATGATGTAGATTTTCTTACCAAAGGGCTGAAAAATTAATAATGCCCTGAGGCAATATAAAAATATCTGACCAAGCAGTGTAATTAATTCTCCTTTCCCCTCAAAATATAGCTTTTTTTTTTTTGAGATGGAGTCTCACTGTCTCCCAGGCTGGAGTGCAGTGGAGTGATCTCAGCTCACTGCAACTTCAACCTCTTGGGTTCAAGCGATTCTCCTGCCTCAGCCTCCCAAGTAACCGGGACTACAAGCGTGTGCCACCATGCCCAGCTAATTTTTGTATTTTTTTTTAGTTGAGGTGGGGTTTTACTATGTTGGCTAGGCTGGTCTTGAACTCCTGACCTCCAGCGGTCCACTTGCCTTGGCCTCCCGAAGTGCGGGGATTACAATCGTGAGCCACTGTGCCCAGCTAAAATGTAACTTTTGAGTACAAATAGGAATAGTAAAAACACCCTAGTTCCCTTAACTTTTGTTTTTTGGGCATTTTTTTTTTTTTTTGACATCTTGCTTTTAAAAGGAAATGTTTATTTTTAGAGAAAACAGCTAGCCAGGCCAAGTGGCCTGGAGGAACAAGATCTTGGTAAATGGCTTATATTAGGTTAATGACTGTTAGAGGTGAAGTGACCTTTTTATCAGTATTGTTTGAGAAACTTCCTGGGACCCAAAATAATAATTTTGGGATTGGGATTGGGCACTTTGAGGAATGAGATAGAAGGTGTTTTCTAACCCTGGAAATGCAGTCACCTCTGACATTTGGAACGTGGTTCCCAGGTCTGTCCTGTCACTTTGAGACCAGTGTGCAAACCCACTCATTCTTCTGTCTTCTAACCTGCACTGGGAAGACCAGGAACCTACTATTGTATGTAGATGTTAAACTGTCTTGCAATGTTTGAATGCAGCAAAACATACTCTTGCAGCAGAAGATCCACATGCTGCTTACTCTGTCATTAAATCTCTTCCCTTTCGCTAGCCTCCTTTGGCTAAAATGTTACTCTTTTATTCATCTTAGTATGCTTTATTGGAGGGAAGACTAAACTATAATAAACAGTAACCCTTTTCAATATAATCTATATGATATCACTATCCATATGAATATCCCAGTAGGTTTTTGAGAGGTATTATTCTTACTTTTTTAAGATGAGGAAAATGAGCCCTAAGGTTAAGTGACTCCGGTTAAGGTCTTAAATGTCAAATGTGTATTATCTTCAAATTCTTTTTTTTTAGGCTCAAAAATAATAATAGCTACAAAATATTGAGTGTATACAATTTTCCCAGAACTGTGCTAATCACCTCATTTATGTTACAGTTTTCACAGTGGTCCTGCAATATTATGATGTCCTTTTTTTAGATTAGGTGAACAAGGATGAGAGAGGTTAATGTGATCATTATGCCTCTGTTTGAACCCAGATCTCTTATTACTCAAATCCTGAGTTTTTCTAGTTTGTTTCTGCATTTTCAGAGTCTACTCATTCAAAATTTAGCTTCAGATACCAGCTCCTCTGTTAAAGCTTTTTTCCTCACTCCCATTAGAAGCTGTGAGGGTGAATGCAAGTTAGCAAGTGATTTGTAGTATTCTTACAAAGATGATACCCAGATGACCTGGGGTTTATCTTTTGCATACTGGGCTCTCAAGTACTGTTACAATCATGGCCCAGTTTGTTTTATACATAATGATTTGTGTATATACGTAGATGTTTTCTTTTCCCTTGTACAGAAGTTTGTTGAAGGTGGGGTTTCAGCTAATTATGTGCTTTATAAACAGTAACTGCTAAATACATTGTACTGAAAGAGTCAGGAGGCTGAGGCAGGAGAATTGCCTGAACCCAGGAGGCGGAGGTTGCGGTGAGCCGAGATCACGCCACTGCACTCCAGCCTGGGCAACAAGAGCGAAACTCCGCCTCAAAAAAAAAAAAGAAAGAGTCATATGTCAGTAAATATTTTTTTTAAGCATGGATTCCTCTTTATTTTTCCTTTTACATCAGAAGTTGGTATCCTTAGCTGTCCCCCAAGGAAGCTCAGTTCAATTCAGTAAATACTGGTTGTATTTTCTGTTCACATGACTTTTCTACCCTCACGGATGTGGGGGTGTAGAGGGAGAATAAGGAACAGACAAAACTGAAAGATATATTCAGGCTCTCAGCAAATACGTACATTGAGAAGCTATTCATAGTTACCTTTGCAGAGATAAAGTATAGAAGACAAACAGTAAATCAGCAATGCTGTTATCATCCAAGTTGAATCTGATATATAAAGGCATTTTAAAATAAAGGATCTTTTGTTTAATAGAGTTCTAGCCAGATCCCTAGTACTTTCCCTGGGCCATCTGTTGGAGCATGGAAACATATACTCTTTGAATATACAGTAACCAGGCATAATGATGTTTAGAAAAATAGAATTACTTTTGTTACTTTGCTTTCTCAAGCTGGTATTAAACTATGTTATGTGTAATTCCTTCTTGGTTACTGTAAGTAACATTGCCAATAAGGAGCCAGAACATCTACGCAAATCCATTGTATTTTGATTAGTGTTTGCTGTGGTTCTCATTGTAGTGAAGCACGCAGCAAAAGTTTATTTTCTGTGTTGTATTCCCTATATACATAGTAGGCATGTCTATGAAGTATTTCCATTAATGAAGGAAAAGGGGAATTTGTCCATATTGAGATCCTTGTCTTGTTAGATCAGAAATTTAAAATACCTTGAGGCTGACTGAGTATGGGTTCATTAGAGTGTTTGGTCCTATCTTGAGTCTATCTTACTTGGGCTGTTTGCTTCCTGCTTTGGGGTCTGAGGGGGTCATGAAGCAATCTAGATGTTTTTATAATTTTATTTGTGAACTTTACAGGTATCCTGAGGGGTCTGGGGCTTATCTTTTGCATACTGCACTCTCAAGTACTGTAACGTGTAATTATTAAAGTGAAGACCTATTATAAAATGAATGTGGTTATGCTATAGATCAAACCATTTAGTCGAAATAAATTTGTTATACCAAAAAGACACTTGCACTTGCATGTTTGTTGCAGCACTGTTCACAATAGCAAAGACATGGAATCAACTTCGGTGCCCATCGACAGTGAATTGGATAGGGAACATGTGGTACAGCTATATCCATAAAAAAAGAATGAAATTATGACCTTTGCAGCAACATGGATGCAGCTGGAGTCCATTATCTTAAGTGAATTAATCACTGGAACAGAAATCCAAATACCACATGTTCTCACTTATAAGTGGGAACTAAACATTGGGTACACATAGACATGAAGAAGGGAACAGTAGACACTGGGGACTCTGAAAGGGGGAAGGAAAGGGCAGAGGCAAGGGTTGAAAAACTACTTATTGGGTAATTGTGTTCACTCTTTGGGTGACAGGTTCAGTTGAAGCCCAAACCTCAGCATCACGTAATATGTTACAGCCATGTAACAAACCTGCACATTTGCTCTCTGAATATCAGTAAAAAAGTATAGCTTATGCATATATAAAAACACATGACCTTATTTATAGATAACCTATAGATAATATCACATCCTTTCTGTACTTTTCCTGTCTCATGCGGAAAAGTGTGATTCACTCTGGGAATTTTATCATTTTATCGGCATACTTTATTGTAAGTCTGTCAGGTTTTATGAAGATAGTAGAGAAGTTTCTTGGCTCTGTTCTGTGAACAAAATGGGAATGTATAAAGAAACCTTTACTTTCAGATTCAGAAGGCATGTGCATGGGAGTCTCTTCAGGTTAATTTATGACAAAATAACATGGAGTTTGAGGTGCTAACAGTATTTCTGAATTCTTTAATGGACTTGCTTTATGAAAGTATGAATGATATCTTTTTATGTGCTTGATTTCTGGGATGAAGTAGTTGACAGGGTTGTGTTCTTTGGTGTGTGCAGAAAGCAGGAGACCCCTGTGCATTTTGAAGTTTAATGGTAGTCATCAACTGAAGAGCCCAGAGTTTGCAATTCTATCTCATCTAATTTGTGGTTGTCCTAAAATTTGTTTGTTTTTTTACGTTTTTGAGACAGAGTCTTGCTGTGTGCCCAGGCTGGAGTGCAGCGGCACTATCTCGGCTCACTGTAACCTCCACTGCCTGGATTTCAGTGATTATCGTGCCTCTGACTCCCAAGTAACTGAGATTACAGGAACCTGCCACCACACCCGGCTAATTTTGTACTTCTAGTAGAGACGGGTTTTCACCGTGTTGGCCAGGCTGGTGAACTCCTGGGCTCCACTGATCTGCCTGCCTTGGCCTCCCAAAGAGCTAGGATTACAGGCATGAGCTACCACACTTGGCCTGGTTGTCCTTAAGTTTAAAAGCTACCAAATTCTTCTTAACCTCTACTTGATGGGTCTTTTTGCTCTTACTGTTCCCCAGCAGCTCACAGTGGATCTTCAGGGCAGACTCAGTACTCTTTGGATGCATAAAACTTAGACTTTTGGCGATATATGCACATATTTGGATATTTTTTTGTGTGTTTTTATTTTTTATTTTTAAATTTTCTTTTTTTTCATGTATCACACAGGAAAACTGATTGGATTCTGTTTTCCTTTAGCTTTTGCACTCAGCTGACTGCAGAATAGAGTCCTAATTAAAAGAACGCCAGTGATAGACTGGCTTATATATACTTAGTGACTTCATTCTTGATCATCCTAATGGGTTATGACTTTTAACTTTTGAAATTATATAGCTTTTGTTTTATTTTATTGTAATTTTTTTTGAGATGGAGTCTCGCTCTGTCGCCTAGGCTGGAGTGCAGTGGCGAGATCTTAGCTCACTGCAGTCTCCACCTCCCAGGTTCAAGCAATTCTCCTGTCTTCATCCTCCCAAGTAGCTGGGACTACAGGTGCATACCATGATGCCTGGCTAATTTTGTATTTTTGGTACAGACAGGATTTCACCATATTGGTCAGGCTGGTCTCGAACTCCTGACCTCAGTGATCTGCCCGCCTCAGCCTCCCAAAATGCTGGGATTACAGGTGTGAACTGCCACGCCTGGCCAGCCTTTATTTTTTACTTTTATTTTTGAGATGGAGTCTTGCTCTGTTGTCCAGGCTTGAGTGCAGTGGCGAGATGGCGGCGGCTCACTGCAACCTCTACCTCCCGGGCTCACGTGATTCTCCTGCCTCAGCCTTCTGAGTAGCTGGAATTACAGGCATGCACAACTACACCCAGCTAATTTTTGTATTTTTAGTAGAGACAGGATTTTACCATGTTGGCCAGGCTGGTCTTGAACTTCAGACCTCAGGTGATTCTCTTGCCACGGCCTCCCAAAGTGCTGGGATTCCAGGCCTGAGCCCCTGTGCTCGTTGAAATTATTAAAACATACACACACAGACACACACACACAGACACACACACACACGCTTTGAAAGCTGAGAGACATCTAAGCAGCAATTTTGTCCTTGTCCCCACTTCCATAGGTCCTTTTCTTAACATTTAATTACTGGATTACTGTATTGGCCTCTTTGCTTAGACTCCCCAAATCCATTTGCTTTCCTTCACCTTTTTTATGGAGGACTGTCAGATCAGTCTTTTAAAGATAAGTTTTATAATGTTACTACTTGTTGCCTATTGGATTAGGGCCTGAGGGGTGCTTTTTGTAGTCTCACTGGCAACTGGCATTTTCACCCTCCTCTTACTGCTACCCTGTGTTGATGGCCAGTTTCCAGGTGGGCACCTGCTCCACTTGCATTCACTTTTGCCTATACCGTTCATTGTAGAAGGTCGTTTGCATCGTCTCACTCCCTCTAAATCAGGGGTGTCCAGTCATTTGGTTTCCCTGGGCCACACATAAAATACACTAACACTAATGATAGCTGATGAATTAAAAAAAGGAAAAAATATCGCAAAAAATCTCATGTTTTAAGCAAGTTTATGAATTTGTGTGCGACCATTCAAAGTAGTTCTAGGCTGCAGGTTGGACAAGCTTCCTCTAAATTCTGTTCCCAACCATCCTGTCCTAGGTTCATTTCTTCATTGGTGGTTGGCTACTCTTCCTTTCTTTATCTGTAGTAGGTTGTGAATTTTAACAGTCTATACTACATTATTAGGCAGTGTGCTTTTCTTAAAATTATTTGTAATTGTGTCCATTTGACTCTGGTTTTTCTTTTTAATCTTTTAAGTTCTTTCAGGGCAAAGAATGTCTTTTACTACTTTTTTTTTTTCCCCAATAGTGGCTAATGCAGGCTGTGCATTTTAGGGTATGTGCAAGTAGTACTTTGGACATCAGCAAGTACTTCAAATACTGAAACTTATTTTTTCAATAGCTAGAAAAGCAATGCTGATTTTCCAGTTGTGGGAGAGAAAATCAGATTACCTCGTCTTGGCCTATACTGGGTGATATCTGTGATTTCATCCTTAGTGGTGAAAGTGTTATTTAAAGGCATTAAATACAGGTATTAACAGGGCTTATGGAAGGTGCTTAATAACCTGGGAACTTTAAAAAAACAACTGTTAATTTATATACTGCATAATTATAATTATGTAACAGATTAAACTTTTCTTTTTTAAAAGCAGTATTTTAGATTTCGGCCAAAAGAGGTATTTTGTTAAGACACCACCGTGTCTGTGGAAATCTGTTTTCAGTAGTAACCATTTGCTACAATAGGGTAAAAATTTTAAGCAGTAATTACTGCATGTCAGATTATGATGATACCTAGTAGAGAAATATGAAAAAAATTATTGCAGATGTTGATTCTTATTTTTTTGTGATTTGAATTGAGAACAAAAATATTTTAACTTTAAAAAATAATCTTTATGTATAAGTTTTAAGTGATTAAAGTGAAAGCAGGAAGTATTCCCTTTACTCTGCTTATATGTAAAGATTATTTTTAATATGAATATATACACATATATAAATGCGAAAAGAGAATTTGGCAGATCATATTCCTTCACTGAAAGAGAAGGTGAAAACTTAAAAATTATTTGTTTCTATATACTTACTTTTGATTAAAAAAAAAAATGGCTTGTCTATCCACCCTGCCCCCATCCCTCCCCTGCACTTCATTCAGTTAAAAAAAAAAAAAAAAAAAATGGCTTGTCATGGAACACTGAACATTTTTAATATTCCTTATTTAAGCTACAATTTTCAAAATGACTGGGAAGTTTATTACAGGTTGAGTATCCCTTATCCATTGAAATTTTTTGATTTTTGGAATAATTGCATTATAATTGCTAGCTGAATAGCCCAATCCAGAAACATGAAATCTGAAATGCTCTAGTGAGCATTTCCTTTGACTGTCACATTGGCACTCAAAATGTTTTGGGCTTTAGACCATTTCAAATTTTGCATTTTTTTCAGATTAGGGATCCTAACTAAGCCTGTATCAGCCTGCTTAAAAATATTTGAAACTGGCCAGGTGTGGTGGCTCACGCCTGTAATTCTAGCACTTTGGGAGGCCGAGGTGGGCGGATCACAAGGTCAGGAGTTCAAGACCAGCCTGGCTAACATAGTGAAACCCTGTCTCTACTAAAAATACAAAAAATTATCCAGGCCTGGTGGCGAGTGCCTGTGATTCCAGCTACTCAGGAGGCCGAGGCAGGAGAATCGCTTGGACCTGGGAGGCAGAGGTTGAGATTGCGCCACTGTACTCCAGCCCGGGCAACAGTGCAAGACTCCATCTCAAAAACAAAACAAAAAAACCAAAAAACAAACTTACCATATGAGCTCTCTTCTTAAAATTGCAATTAACTTTTGTCATTTTGAGATTGTGTTGAAGTAGCCGGGCACAGTGGCTCACGTCTGTAATCCTGGCACTTTGGGAGGCTGAGGTGGGTGGATTACCTGAGTTTGGGAGTTCAAGACCAGCCTGACCAACACGGAGAAACCCCATCTCTATTAAAAATACAAAATTAGCCGGGCATGGTGGCGCATGCCTGTAATCCCAGCTACTCGGGAGGCTGAGGCAAGAGAATCGCTTGAACCTGGGAGGCAGAGGTTGTTGTGAGCTGAGATCTTGCCACTCTACTACAGCCTGGGCAACAAGAGTAAAACTCTGTCTCAAGAAAAAAAAAAAAATAGAAATTATGTTGAAGTGAAATGTATCTGCTTAAGAGAATATGCCTTATTTATTTGCAGTGAATTTCAGACTTCCATAATCTGTTTTTATTTATTAGAAAATTAGTTGA